ACTGACCAGCGCTGACTACAGGAAGCCCGAGGCAGAGTTGCTCTGCCCCGGGCTTCCTGGAATCAGCTGCTGATCAGTTTCAGCAGCAGCTGACTTGGGGACGCCTGGGGTTCTTAAGTTGATTCTGTATGTAAGTCAGAACTGGCGGTCAGTTTCAGCAGTGTCTGAATCTGGACGCCAGTTCCGACTTACATACCGATTCAACTTAAGAACAAACCTACAGTCCCTATCTTGTACGTAACCCGGGGACTGCCTGTACATACAGAAGTGCCCTGAGTTTGCACTAAGATTTCATTGAGTGGCAGATTAGGACTAAGGAGTGCTGTAGCAAGATTAATGGTGAGCATTCTCCAAATTCCAAACAGTCTGCATTGAAAACCATGTAGTGCTGAATGCAAGATCAGGACTTAGCAAAGAATTTGCCATGCTTTGGGGGTGGATTTGAAGGGTCTTTAAAACAGGAAATATTTGGATAAAGCAATGGTTTATCCAGAGTAAGGGTTTGTCTATGCAGTGGGGTAATGTGCTGTACAGAATTGTGATTATTAAAACACGTTCACTGGTCTGTGTAAACTTTGCTGGTGTGCTTTGATGTGCTGCTGTTTGAAATGTATTGCATTAAAGCAAGCTAGGGGAACCTTTAATATGCACCAGCAGGGTTTCCACAGACATGCAGCACGTGAGTGTGCTTTAGGCATTATGTAGAGCATGTTACCCCGCCATGCAGATGGGCCTTAAAATCCACTAAGCTGCTTGTTGTAGCCCTGTAGACTAAATAGCCATTCACCAGTTTCTGATGTAGGGCTCTTACTTTAACAGATTTACTCCAGGACCCAAACTATGTAGTAGGTTGATAGACTTATACAAGAGAGTTGAAGCTTTGGGTGTTGTTGTAATGCTTCCTTCAAAGCCTTGAGTTGCTTGTTAAATGACCCCTCTACTCCTGAGGGAATTTTGTGACAAAATAAAAATTATGGGCACAATATTTTAAAATTCTGCAAAATTTGTCAAATATGGTTCCAGCATGGCAGCAGGGAGCACAGATCACTGAGCACACTGATATGAGAAATCACACTGAAGGCCTATCTTCCCTGATATGGGGACTCTGCAGTGAGGCTGACCTGACCAGTGCAAAGGCTGGGCCTGCCCTCTACACCTGCTCCTTTGCACTGGGTTTGGGCTGTCTCAGCCCAACACAATCCAGGTGTGGAGGGGCTTAGTGTGGGGGGGATCAGGTATGAGATGAGATGTTTGTGTGGGGCATTCTGGATACAGGTAGCTCAGTGGGAGATCAGGATGCATTTGGGGTGTCCAGATTCAGGGGCAATGGGACCCTGCCTGGGGGTCCAGGTGAAGGGGGCTCGGACCCATGTGAGTGAAGTCCAGGTGCTGGGGGAACGTGGTGTAATGGAGCTGGGTTCCAGGTGCAGCTGGCTGGGGATCAGTGGGACGGGGTCTGAGTGTCAGGGGGATCCAGGTGTAGGGGGATAGGACTTCTCAGAGAAGGTTTGATGAGTCTGCTTAGCAGGGGAGCCCCAGCTGGTGTGGAATCAAGCCCAGCAGGCAGTCTCCTGATTCCCCTGTCCTCTCTTTTTCTTCCTCCCCCTCCTCCCATTCCCATATTCTTCTCGCCCTGCCCTATTCCACCCTTCTTTACCCAACCCTGCGGCAGGCACTCATTGCTGCAAGCCTTACTGTTTTGTGTTGGCACTAGGACCCAGGAGGCACCAATCAGCTGCACAGTCAGCAGAACTATGGGGCAGACTCCTTCAGCTGGGCACTTGCTGAAATGTGGGAGCAGTGTCATCTAGTGCCACCCTCCCTCCCAAGCTTCACTTCTCTTTCGGAGGGAGGCGTTCCTGCCCAGCAAATGTCTGTCTGTGTGCCTGTCTCTCAGGGTACGTCTACACTAGCCCCCTAGATCGATCTAGGGAGGTTAAGGAGGGCGACCAGAATTGCAAATCAAGCCCGGGATTTAAATATCCTGCACTTGATTTGCATGTTCCTGGCCGGTCACCATTTTAGAAATTGACTAGCCCGAAGTAACTGCCCGTGTCTACACGTGGCAGTGAAACGGGATTCCAGAATAAAGCCCTAACTCGAATTAGGTGGTAGGGCTTTATTCCGGAATCCCGTTTCACTGCCGTGTGTAGACGCAGGCGGTTACTTCAGGCTAGTCAATTTCTAAAATGGCGACCAACTGGGAACATGCAAATCAAGCATGGGATATTTAAATCCCGGGCTTGATTTGCAATTCTGGTCGCCCTCCTTAACCTCCCTAGATCGATCTAGGGGGCTAGTGAAGACGTACCCTCAGAGAGCTGTCATGGGTGAAGGAAGTTGAGACGACTATGTAACTTTCTGGAGCTGTGAAAATTTTTAATTGCTACAAATAGAAAAAAGTTTTAAAATAAATGGATCTGTTGAAATTATAAATAACCATTGAACTCTGCCAACCCTAGTCAGGCTCATACGCAGGAATTTCTGTGTGGGGCATGCTTTTTTTTTTTAATAAATGTGGACTGCAAAGGTGTAAATGCACCTCTGTGGTCCCCCAAGTAAGCAGGGAAATCAGACCCAGTCTTCCCCCGGCCCGCCAGAGCATGGGGGAGTGCGGCACGGGCAGCACACTGCTCCTGCCTTCTTCCTGGATAGCCAGAGCATGCTTACTTGGGGGACTGACCATGAGGGGGATGCTTTCACACCCTTTGCATTCCCCACCTTCCCCCTCCCCGGTATGGGCCTGCTAGTCACATCAAAGATGCCTCCTGACTTTGACATAGCAAGTGATTTGAAAAAGAAAGGTGTTTTTGCACCTGGATTCTGACTGGATTTGTTCTTCCTTTCTCAGACCTGGTGGCCCAAAGAGGAGAGAAGCTGGAGCTGCTGATAGACAAAACGGAAAATCTAGTGGATTCAGTGAGTAAGGCATATGGGGAAGTGGGGAGTCGGTCTTGGCTGTATATCGTGACAAACTTGCTCCTACCATATTAATTATGGTTAGAAGCTGATTTTAACCAGTCTGCAATGAATACAGGTAGCAACGAAGGCCAGGCACTGAAGCTGTACATAAACTGGGGGCTTCTAGACTCTAAGCTCTCGTGTTTGTACTGTGTCAGGCCTGTGATGTGTATATCTGATCTTTCAGTCCCCCTCTAGGCCTTTCCTATGCACTTTGGTTTCCAACAGCAAGGCTGTATTCTACTTGTGGCATGGCTCATTACACCTTTGTTCCTTAGTATACCATTTCTTCTGCAATGTGCATCCTTTGCATGACCGTGCAGGAGATGTGTGGGTGGATACTGGATAACAAGCTACATGTAGACTTGTCACAACTGTTCCCACTGAAGCAATGTCTGCTTCCTTCTTCCTTGGTGCTAGTTCAGTTAGATACTCCTGGGACTGTCCCCTGTTCAGGTACTTTCCTGCATACGTTGCACTCTTCTCCTTTCTTCCCGCCTCTGCGCATAAGCCCCAGGTGCTCACATGAGCCATGACCTACCTTCCTTCCTCCTTTCCCACCGTCTGGGCTGCCTTCGAATTTTGGTTCCACAACACACATGTTCTTCATTATAGAAACCTTCATTATGAAAATAATTCTTACATTAATTGATTTCAGGCTAATTATGTGGTCTATAATATCACTTTGTCTTCTGAAAATAAACTATTTCTGTTAATAACCACATAGTTCTGAATGGGTCCCTTAGAAAAAGTTCTTCACCTCTTAAAAATGTCAAGAAATGCACTTCTGCATTTAAGTAGAGAAGGGGAAATATTTTAGATTGCTAATGCAAGGAGGTGCAGAAAATTCACCTTGCTCCTGACAGAGGGTGATGAGTTCTTACAGCAGGCTCTTACATGATCCTGTGTATTGACTGTCCAGCATTGGCCAATTCTTTTTCCATTTGGAAAGCTCTTTGCCCTGAGATATTTAGGGTTTTTATGCATAAGAAATCTGATCGTAAGACAGTACGCTGGCAGACTGGGAAGAAATCCTATGTTTGGAGGATGGTGGGGTTCTGGATTACAGAAAAGCAGGAATAAAGTGAAGATTTACCATAAGGTTGGAGAGAAGCCTCAGGTTGTTAAAGGTCTCAGTCCACTAGGCCCAAAAGGGAATTGGTATCAAAAGTTGCAGAAGCGATTTCAAATGGAGCTACAGGTTGAGCCTCTTTAATCTGGCACTCTTCAGAACTGACCAGTTCCAAACCAGAGAATTTGCTGAATTCCTTATTGTCTAGCAGCATTACCAATGCTCCCATTGCTCACTGGGCTCTTCGAAGACATTTAGGGGTAAATTGGAGCTAAATAACAGCACAGAATGATGAAAGCCAGGAATGGTGGCTGTAAAACTTTATGGGACTGCAGGAAAATTGGCCACACCAATGAGATGTGGACATCTGGCTAACTACAATTGTCAGACCACAGATGTTGCTGGACCAGAGTGTGCCAGACTAGAGAGGTTCAACGTGTAGCATATTTACAGTGGTAAGTGTGCACAGTGCCCTTGGTTACTGATAGTAGGCCTGCAAATGGAACCGGGTAGATTAGCCAGATTGTATGTGTAATGCTGGACAGTGAATAGGCAGCACATAGAAAAGCTGAAGGGCTAAGCAGAGGGGTTCACTTTCAGGCCCATGTTATCTTTGATGCTGCCACTTTATTGCTTCTGTGGAAGAAAACTAGTGCAAACACTTGAAATCCTGAGAGGATCAGTGCTTAAGCATTGCTATCCAGGGGCTCCCTTTCCTAGAGGAAGTGAAGGTGAAAAACAAATAAGTGGCTTACATCTCCAGAACCTGGGGCAGTGCAATGGATCCATGTTGTTGTAAATGCGGATGGAGCGGTGGGGGTTGGGCCCAGGGAATACATTTTACACAGACTCTGACTTTAAGGGTAGAAGGGACCATCACAATCCTGTAGTTTGATCTGCACATGGTAACTCCCTCCCTCCCTGTAATAGACCCTGAGCCTGTGGGTCAGTTTCTGATGTCCTCAAATCATGACTTAAAGCCTTTAGCTTACAGAGACTTTGCCATTAGTACTACCTTAAATCTGCAAGTGTCCCATACTGCAGAGGAAGGTGAAAAACCCAGGGCAAAATTCCCTCCTGATGCCCTGAGCATGTGGGCAAGACCCACCAGTCAGATACTACAGAGAATTCTTTGCCCGGTAACTTGGGGCCCTCCCCACATCTAATGGTCGCATCACTGGCCATTGGAGATATGTGCTGCTAGCAGTCACAGATCAGCCATGTGCCACTGTAGGCTGTCTCCTACACCATCCCCAGGCCTGCCAACAGAAGGGGAGGGGGCTACTGTCTTGGGGCCTGGCGATTTCTAAAGGTCTCTGAGCAGAGCCTCAGATAGAAGGGGCAGCACTGAAGGCTTGATTTGGGGAGGGTAGCCCCCAGCCCTGCCCCTTCTGCCTAAAGCCCCACCTCTTCCAGGAGCATGGAGCCACCCTCCCACTTTTCCCAGGGGCCTGGCAATTGTTAGCCCCCTGACCATGTCCTCTGTAAACCTAGCAATTTCAGTCTTGCGGCCATGCCTTTGCCTCCAGGACTCCCTTTGCCAGGCTGTTTGGATTAGGTATTGGTTCAGGAGGGATTTTGATGAAATTCAGTTGGAGGACCAAGGCTCGTGGAGTAAGTGGGGTTGTTTTCTCTCCTAGTCTGTCACATTCAAAACTACCAGCAGGAACCTGGCCAGAGCCATGTGTATGAAGAATCTCAAGCTCACCATCATCATCACAGTAGTATCAATTGTAAGTTACTGGGCTTCATCCTCTCTTCTAATGAGGTAACAACTCCTGCTCCTTTCTGAAGTGAAGCCTGAATGTTAGAAAGTGTCATCCATGTCTCCTCCCAGTAGCCTCACAGTAACCAGTGTCCTCAGCAGGCGCCATTTACGACCATCACTAGAAGGTTCTCTTAGGCAAGCTAGGAGCCAGCATTTCACTACCCTTTTTACATTGGAGCAGGTGGCAGTATCCTGCCTGGAGCGAGTCAGGAATTCATCAATCATTCCCCAACAAAAAATGCTCTTTCCCCAAAACTAATATCTTCTGTGGAAAATTCATTTTGCCAAAAAAGAGAAAAGAAAAATCCATCCAAATGATGGTTCTCTGTCTGCCTGGAAATCTCTCATCAGTGATATTTTCTGCCTGCCTTTTCCAGGGCCCAGGAGTGAGGGAGGCCAGCTCCTGTGGAAGAAAGTGTTTGCTTGAGGCAGGAAGCAGACGTACCGTTTTGGTTCTCTTAGAATGGAATTCTCTCAATCCCTTCCCATGAACAATGTTTCATTTTTTACTTCTGTATTTGGAATGAAACCTTCTTCTCAAATGGAAAATCATGTTCAGGGATAGATTTCTCTTTTCCAGCTGCTCTGGCCCTGCCCATAGTGGTGTGTGGAAGTGGTGTCCATCATCTTAGTGTCTCGGATGGGAGGGGGAGAGCAGTCCAGAGGTGCCCTGTGGTGGCTTTCTCCAGTTGGAGATAACTATAAGGGAGAGCAGGGACATTGCTGCCTTGCTGGAGTATTGGGTTCTTTCAGGAGTGCTGTGACTTACGTTAAATGGCTTCATGCCTGAGTAATTGCCTCTCCCCGACTGTAGGTCTTTGTCCTCAAATGTTCTTGCTTTAACACCTTTCACCCGAGGACCTCAAAGTATAAGTGCAGGTCACTGTGGTGCAAAGCTCTCCTTGATGGAGCTTTGTATCACACCATGGGATGGGAGGCGTTATCCCATTGTTGCAGTTGGGGAAACCGAGGCTGAATGCCAAAGGTGGAGATGGTAGCAGAGACAGGAATAGTAACCTAGTCTGGGTTGTAAACCCTGTTCCAAGTACCTGACTGTTACATGCTGAGTGATGGCAAAGATTCCCTATCTTTGTGACAGTGCTTTCTTCTTCCAGGTAGTCATCTATGTTATTGTGTCGGCTGCCTGTGGTGGACTTACATGGCCCAGCTGTGTGAACAAGTAAAGAGTGCTTTGCCAATCTGCCAAGGATGAGAGCGTGTGCAAAGAAGCAACCCACAGAATAACATGCTTTTCACTACTGACACTTCATTCCTCCCTTCTTCTGAGACTTCAGACTTCTTTGCCTGATCACCCCCAGCAGCCCCAGGTTACTGCTTCAGTGCCATTTCAGCCTCAGAGTGCTGTGTTTTAAAACTATTGGAAGGGTTTTGTTTCATCTTAACTGCAGAGTCCTTGGAGGGGCAGGCAGCAAGGCTTGCTCCAGAGGGTACATGCATGCTTGTCTGTGTACACTTTAATGGGCATGTGCAAAGCAGAGCGCTGCTTCCTAGTGCTTCCATCTCTGCATAATGGGTGGGGCTGGAGAGCTCAACTTGGGCCAATGAAGGTAGGCAGAGTGGGGAAAGTCCATTTTGCTGCTACTATATTGGGATCTGATTAAGTTTCATCCCTATGTTTGGTGCACAAACTGATGTACTCCATAGAGACCACCAATGCAGCCTGGGTTGAGTTAGCAAATGACCTGTTATAGTAGATGTTAAGATCCCTTAAAGGCATGGGCCCATCTTGGAGATGCATCTCTCTTCAATATGGAACCCTTTTTTTTCCCTCTGAGAGATCTCTTTGCACATCTGTACAGGTGAGTGGGGATTGAGTAGGCATGCTGAAATGATTGCTTTTACTCTGTCTTCTGCCCTACTTTGTGACTAAGTTAATAAGTTGGCTGCTGTTTGTCTTGTGTTAAATATTGTTTCTGTCCTGTATGTTTAGTCTCCCCCCACTCAGAATAAAGATACAGTAAATGCTTATTATTCAAGATGAAGGCGATGGAATTGGGGCCAAGCTACTTTTTTAGCTTGCAAAAAGGATGTATTCTGAGATGCCACGTGCTTGCATTTCCATCCTGGTCAGATATTTCCATATGTTAAGGAAACAAACCACTGAAAACAGGTCAGTTATGGTTCCATCCCAGTCGTAAGTTCACCTTGTGCTGGTCTGAAGGGGGAACTGATACAAAACACTGTTAACAACTAAAGGCAGGAATCCCTGACACACATACTGCTATGAGAACCTCACAGGGCCAAAAATAGCTCCCATGAGACTTGTCCAGTGACTGCTAGGTCAAAGGGTTTATAATGAAAGCTCTTATCCTAAGAGTAGCTCTGTATAACTCTTCAGTAGCGGAAATGGGGGTGGCACTCCAGTTATACGGTACAGATTTGCAAAGTAGTGGCCTGAGGTCTGACAAAGACAGTTGTAAAGGGCTTGCTGAATTTATTTGTAAACTGTTCAGTATTGCAGAGGGGAGACAATTTGCTATGGAAGGGAGGGAGACAAAGCAAATCCTCTGATAAAATGAGAAATGTGGAGAGCTCAAGACAAATCTGTAACTCCTTGGCCCTAGAGCTTCGCACTGCTCGGTCACTGAGCACTGAGTAATGTACTCCTCCTGTGAAGGTAGGGGACCTAACCCTAAGGCATATATTTAAAGCCCTGTACTTACTGCAGTGCCATTAATCAACTGTGGTGTCCAGAACAGCTTTTGCACTCTAACCTTGAATTTATCCTTGAGTCACGTGATACTGGCTGCCTGTGAAATGGCACTAACAACTAAATGGCCACCCATCATATCCTTTGTATTGCTGCATATTACACTGATCTCTTTGCAGGTTCCCTTCTGTAATAGTGCTCTAAATTCCTATCAGTGTGTGAGTTTATCCTCAGTAGTCCAAAATCTCACCCTTGGTAGTTGGCAATTGGAAAGTACTCAAGTGTCTTCCTGCCATGCAAGTAGACATGTTTGTGACCCTGTTCTCTGTGTGTAGTCAAACTAGCAACGCAAGTGAACTTATCACTCAGAGAGGTAGTTTTGAACTTATTAGAAACATTCAATTAGTGAAATACTGATGGCTCATCTGGGAAGAACAGGGATAAGTCGTCTTCATGCACTCAGTACTGCCTACAATCAACATGCAACTGTGCATATTTTAGGGACTGCTAATGTTACTGTTGATTTCCTATTTGTCTTATGTACAAACACTTTTTTAAAGGAATACTTCTCTCGTTTTTAAAGAATGCAGTGAGACATTACTGTAAAAAACATTAACCTGTTTAAATAAATTTATGGCAAATGAGCAGACTTTGCTAAGTTTTGTGAAAGACAGCTTGGCAAAAGGGCTACTCCAAACTAACAATGGAAGAGTACAACTAATCCTAAACACCATAGTGTTCTGAACAGTGATTTTAACTCACACAGTGCCTTGGTGTATCCTAACATGGTGTGCTTCTGAAGTAGACCAAATTAAAAAAAAAAAAAAAGTATTTTAAAAAAATAAGCACTAGTGCTTCCTGTCCTGATTAGAGGGGGGAGAACTAGCACCTTGTATACAAAGCATAGTAGCCAAATCCTCCCCAATGAATGAGTTTGAGGCATAGATTTAAATCAAGTTGAAAAACAGATGACAGCAAATGGGGACCATCTTTGTTTGCACAGCACCTAATCCTGGCTGTCTGGCTGCCCAGAAGTTCATTGCAGAAGTGGCTATTCTCAGTATGAAAGTCACCTACTGGCAGCCTATTGGCCACTAGCTCAGTCAGCAAACGTCCCCTAATGACAGCCCATTGGCTGCTAGCTCAGTCAAGAATTATCCTAGTAGTGATAACTCATTGGCCACCAGCTCAGGAAACCCCTACTGAGAGCCCATTGGTGGCCAGTGAAGTCTAAACATCCCCTAGTGACAACCCATTGGCTACAAGCTCAGTCAGCAAACATCCCCAATTGACTGCCTATTGGCCACCAACTCAGTCAGGAAATGGCCTCTACTGACTGCCCATTGGCCACTAGCTCAGCCAATAAACACACCCAGGCATGGTAGCTTTTTGCTAGGTGGGATGCCAGTCTTACCTGTTGCTGCAGTCTCCATTCCTCAGACCAGTTCAGGCATCAGAAACACTCAGTCTTTGTTGATGTCCAGTGTGAGGCTGTGACCTCACAAGGTCCTGATGTGTGCATCCAAAGGCTGCTGTTAAATTCCCCAGGTGAGAGCTTGCTGCAGGTGCTTGTCTGACAATCACCAGCAGTAGGCACTAATCAGTTCCACTGCCCACCTATCAAGGCTCTGCAGCATACCTGCATGTCTCTAAGAGCTGCTCCTACTCTGCTCATCTTTGCCAGCTGTTCTAGTGTGAGGGAGAAAAGGCAATGGGGGTGTGTGTGGACAATTTCTAGCCCCAAGAACAGCTATGTTACCCCTTTGCTCTTTCTAGATGCCAGACACTCCTCCAAATTGGGCAACATGCTTTCAGAGTTCACTCACTAAGAGGTGTTGCCTAGGCACGCTCTCAACTGGCTACACTAAAAATGTGGGTGCCACTCCCAAAATGTATTCAAGTTTTACCCCAATGGTGCCCAACCAAACTGCTGGCTTTTAATATGCAAAAAAGGGACTATTGCATGGAGTCAACTCCCGTCACACTCTGTAGGAAGTCTGCTCATCAGGGTATGTATTTTCATACATTATTGCAAAGATACATTTCTGTTAAACAATGTTAAGGGGAATTTATATTTGGTAAAAACCTTATTTACTGAAAGAAATGCTGTAGTGCCCCAATGGTTATTGGGGCTGCAAAACACTTTTACTCCTGCATGAAGCAAGAAGTTAGAATTAGACCATTACATATTTTGTTTTAATACAGGTTTAATTTCACTTATGTGTAGGTTTGTTCAGGACTGACTGTTGTTAGTTGAGGGTTGGGTTTAGTTTTTATTTTTTAAATTGAAATGGAGATTTTATTGATGTTTGCTGGATTAGTGTGTGTCTCATGCATTATTTCTGCACATTTTTCTACAGATTTGGCCAGTTTTCAAATTGCTCTAAGGTTTTAGATGGTTTTAATAGCAGGGTTTTTTTATTTTATGGTATTTTATTATCCTGCTGTTGCACAAGAAGGTTGTCTACACTCACGGCTTCTTTTGTCGGAAGTATGCAAATGAGGCTAAGCGTGAAATATTGTCAAGCCTCATTTGCATACCTAATGAGCCGCGATTTTTGCAGAAGAGGCTCTTGCGCCAGAAGGAGCTGTCTACACTGTCCCTTCTTATGCAAGAAAACCCCTCTTGTGCAATGCTGTTACGTCAATTATTTTTGGGAATAACGGCATTGTGCAAGAGGGATTTTCTTGCGCAAGAAGGGGCAGTGTAGACAGCTCCTGGCACAAGAGCCTCTTCTGCAAAAATGGCGGCTCATTAGGTATGCAAATGAGGCTTGGCGATATTCCACACTTAACCTCATTTGCATACTTCTTACACAAGAAGCCGCGAGTGTAGACATAGCCGAAATGTATTAATTTATGGCATTTGTTAAGTTTTATTTTTAAAAACTATTTTTTGTTTGGATTTCAAATTAAGCATTGTTTGCTCTTTCAAAGTAAGTGCACTTTGTTTGCACTTTCAGATGTAAGCTGTGGTGTACGTTTTAATTTTTGGTTGGATCTTTAAAAGGATTGTTGACTTTGTTTTGATGGATTTGGAGTAAAGTCTATTTACTGTTTAATTTTAAACCCTGACCAGGTGGGGGAGAGGTGCCTGCCCTTTGACTGAGAAGGAACAGAGGTATGGCCCCTGTGATGGGTGGGTCCAGGTGATAGGGGATGGGTGGGTGGGGGTGTGTGTGTGTGTGTGTGTGTGTGTGTACGCAATCCCCCCGCTTTTTGTCTCGCTCATCTCAGCTGCGCGCCCCCCCCCCTCCACCAAAAAGACTGGCACTCACAACTGGCCAGCGGGGGTTACTGCTGGTCCCGGGGAACCCTTT